ACTGACTGCTATTCAATCTATAACAGTGAAAAAAGTTTTTTGTTTTTAAATCCAAGCCATTGTGACACAGGATCTAATTAGTGGCACTTGTCAGCGTATCCACTGTTAGCGTAACACACCCGCTTTAAGGACACTGACTGCTATTCAATCTATAACAGTGAAAAAGATTATTTTTTTTTTAAATCCAAACTATTGTGACACCAGATCTAATTAGTGGCACTTGTCAGCGTATCCACTGTTAGCGTAACACACCCGCTTTAAGGACACTGACTGCTATTCAATCTATAACAGTAAAAAAAGTTTTTTGTTTTTAAATCCAAGCTATTGCGACACCAGATGTAATTGGTGGCACTGACTGGGGAAATGGGCACAGTATGCACTGTGAGCCTGACACAGAAGCTGGCAGCAGTGGCACACAACTGACTGCTATTCAATCTATAACAGTGAAAAAAGTTTTTTGTTTTTAAATCCAAGCTATTGTGACACCAGATGTAATTGGTGGCACTGACTGGGGAAATGGGCACAGTATGCACTGTGAGCCCGACACAGAAGCTGGCAGCAGTGGCAGACAACTGACTGCTATTCAATCTATAACAGTGAAAAAAGTTTTTTGTTTTTAAATCCAAGCTATTGTGACACCAGATGTAATTGGTGGCACTGACTGGGGAAATGGGCACTGTGAGCCTGACACAGAAGCTGGCAGCAGTGGCAGACAACTAAGTGCATTTACATTAGATAGAAAAAAAAAATCCAAAAAAAGCATACCCTTATCCCTAACCTAGCTATGCTTTTCCCTATCTTATGAACAGCAGCTACACTTTCCCTCCTCTTACTAAGCATGCAGCTTGAGAATGAATCTAAAATGGATGCTGTCCAGTAGGTGGGAGGGTCTGCTAGGGAGGCTGTGCTGCTAATTGGCTGGAATGTGTCTGCTGACTGTGAGGTACAGGGTCAAAGTTTACTCAATGATGACGAATAGGGGGCGGGTCGAACCGCGCATATGTTCGCCCGCCGTGGCGAACGCGAACATGCTATGTTCGCCAGGAACCGTTCGCCGGCGAACCGTTCGGTACATCACTATTTATTAATAGTTATATTATGCTATGGAGCTCTGGGATTCATTCATACACCCCACACCTTACAATGAGTTGTATTGCTGTAAATTTAAAATTATATAAGATACATTGTTCTTGTTCTAAATTACATTTTAGTTGCATAAATTGTTAAAGGGACACCGTAGGCACTGTATCTGCTTCATTTCATTAAACTGGTTATAGTGTCTGTAGTCCTCTGGTCCCATAATTTCTACCAGCATTAAACTGTTTTTAAAGTTTTAATGTTTTAATGCTAAATAAGAGTCCCCGGCAATCCATCCCCTCTGTGCTGCTTTGGCTAATAAGGAAGTATTAGCCTGAGCAGCAATGGGCAGATGTGATTGGCTGAGAGTGTCAGCTGACAGTATGAATGGGTACGACAACAAGGAAGTGTGCAACCTCTGCCTTAGCTACACATACTGAAGGGGCCGGACTGTGGGTGGCCAGGGACTCTTATTTTGTGGCATACTGCACGAACATGGTTCAACACTGAATGGAGGGACAACGCCAGGGCACTCCAGGCACTATAACCAATTCAAAGAGATGAAATGCTTATAGTGACTACAGTGTCCCTTTAATATTTGCTACCTCCCAATACATTCATCAGAAAGAATATATCTTGTAATTATAATGCAATTTCCGTCAGATCAATGTTAACATATCAAATGAATCAGTCAAACAGTGTTATTGGATTTCCTGTTGGGAACTAGAATGATGCATATAGTAAATTTGTTATTAGCTACAAAAGCACTTTGTGAACTTTCGTGTTTATCTTAAATCCATTATTCCCAATTGATAAATAGCTGCATATGTCAGAAAAGCATAGTATATTAACACAGTTATTGCACTAATACTTCAACATATTATATATATACATATACTTACACCAACAAAAGCTAAAAAAAGACCAATCAGAAGATTTTCTAGACATAACAAGGACTAATTAAGGAAAAAATGTGTCATTGTCGTCAAGGACCATCTGAGTAGTAGACTGTAGCATGGTGGTTCTCCTGGGACATTCACCTTTGAGAGGAGGTTCAACTAGTTGAGATTTGCAGAGAAAAGGAGGTGAACATCAATTCAAATTTTCGGAAAGAAACAAACCAGGAAGTCCGCAGTCACATGAACATGGTACACAGTAATGCAATGCACCAAAAAAATGATTCTCAGGAGAAAATGGAGCAACAGGAATAGAAATAGAGCAACTTAAAAAAGAGCAACAGGAATAGATGATGCTAGGAACTGATGGATGCAACAACAAACAGAACACAGAATCCATACAGAATCATACATTTGACGCTCAGGCAAGCACAAACTTGGCCAGACCCATGCCACTTTGGTTCCATTTTCCATAAAAGTATCATTAAATGATATTCCTTGCATTATCATGGCATCTGTCATAGATGTTCAATGGATGTAATTTCCGAGTAACTACTGCCGGCTGATTTTCTTTAAATCTGACATTTCATTTTAGTTTATAGATTTCTTTATGTCCTATGGCACAAAAGTATAAACTACTAGCATGGATCTTGCTTCCATGGTTGTCGGTAACTTTTGCTAAACTTGTGCAACATTAACAAATATTAACATTGAGGTACTGGGAGTCTGACACCATTCCATCCATGACAGAGGTCGTGCGAAGCATATTCGAGTCAAAGTGTTGTGAACTAGCCTTTAGTACTCCTTCTGTGTTTTTAGAATCGCTGAGACAAGATTGGATGAGTTGCAAAAGGGGCGTCAAAGCAGTTTTGACTTATAAGTATTATCTACACCACATCCAACCAAACAGCACTATATAAAATTATAACCTGATTCAAATATTTTTTTTATACACGGCTTTCTTAACCATTACATTTTAGTTGTTCAATATATTACTTTGTTTGTGTATGTATGTATGTATGTATGCGAGTGCGCTGGATTCCGTATTTTGTATATTTTGGCCCCAGCACCATGTTTAGGTGAGTGCAGCCCTCTTGGTTTCATATATATATGTATATGTATGTATGTATATAAATGTATATGTATATGTGTCATATAGCATCAGATGATGTTAGTTACAGTTATTCCCCTGTTATTTTTAGTTATTAGTAATTTATTTTGTATTATTGTGTTATTATTGAAAATTCATCAATAAAAACATTTGAAGAGAAAAAAGATTAACATAACTTAAGGGTGATTTTCAATGTTTTATGCCATGGTGTAATTCCCAGAGATGTAACCGTTCCCCTTTAACCCCTTAAGGACACATGACATGTGTGAAATGTCATGATTCCCTTTTATTCCAGAAGTTTGGTCCTTAAGGGGTTAAAGGGACACTAAAGTCACCCATACCACTTCATCTCAATGTATGGGTATGAGTGCAGTGGCCCTGTCCACTTAACATGTTTACATTGCAGGGTTACAGGTGCTTCTGTAGTGCTAACCAAGATAAACTTGGTCACATGATGTGGAGGTTCATAGGAAAGCATTTAAAGCATATGCATAAGGTCCCCAATGCTCTCATACAAGGAACGTTGGATTGGACCATCACGTAGGTGTCCATTTCTCTTCAATTATATAATCGAATGCAGAGAGGTGAGCAATGCCAAGGGAGCCTCTGAGCTGGAAAAAGATATGTAAAACATTATTTTTTATTAATTGTTATGGCACATGGGTGTCTTGTTGTTTTGCAGATGCTGTGACCCAGTCGTCTAGCCATCACTATTTGGCCCTTGTCAAAGTCACTCAGATCGTTTCACTTGTTAGTTTTTCCTGCTTCTAACACATGAAATTCATAAACTGACTGTTCATTTGCTGCATAATATATCCCACCAGGTGCCATTACAATTATATAATCTTTGTTATTCAATTCACCTGCCAGTGGTTTTAACATTGTTACTAATCAGTGTTGTGACAGACCCTCTGTCCCTGAATTTTAAAGTTTATATTACCCTTTCGCCTATCCGTTCGACCAAGTACAGTTCTACCCTATTTCACCATTGTCCAAGCGACTGACAAAGGAACTTACAAACAACCGGCCACCCAAATGCGGAGTGTGGCACTTGTTAACCTTAGTGACCCCTTCTAACACCTCTAAAACCACAAACACCCCAACGTTCTAAGTGGTCGACTGAGTGGTTGGTGTTCGTATGCCCGAACACGTGGCGGCAGCCATCTTGGAATATGAATGCGGCCAGTGGTGTTGTGTCATTGAGTGCATGGAACAAGAATCGACACTCGACGGCACAAACACAGATAAGACTTCCATGATCACGAATTTTTGGCATTATATGTACGATATGGACGGTAATAACATCTCCCGAACCACTATGACTATGAGAAAGAATACATGAACAGTAATTTTCCCTATAGACACTAGGTACTTTTGAAGGAGACCGCCTGCACAGACTGATTCAATGGATTTATTCTGGGCAGGAGCCTCGTGTCGTGTGCGCTCAGTCAGGAATACGACCTCTATCAAAATCCTGAACCCCTGAACTGATCTGGGTGATTTTTGAATATTTTTTCCCCCAGAACAGGGCTATCAGGAAATATGCTTTCTGTGGGGATACTAAGTGTTTTGGAGGTACTTTTAGATTGTATATAAATTATGTTCTTTTTTCGCCTGGAGATATTTGAGTTAAAGACAGTAGTTGACTCAATTATCTCTCAGGCAGAGGGGAGGTGTCAGGGGTCCGCGGTCTCCCCTCCTCCTACCTGTCGGTGTGAGGCATCTCCTCTCCGCTGCGCGCTGCGCGCCGCTCGCATCTTCTTCCATGCCTCCCAGCGGCAGCATGTATAACGCTGCATGCTGGGAGCCCGTGCACTCACGTGACCCGGCGTTAAAGCAACAGTACCACAATCACAGTGGGAGGCGTAGATATCTCCCACGTGTGATTGTTAATTCTGATTGGAAGTTATCCAATCAGAATTAAGCAAAAGATATTTATACTTACCTTTCCTGTCTCTCAGTGCCCTGTTGTGGTCTTGTGATACCTGTATTGCAGTTTCTCTCTGGTTACTGATTTCCTCCCCCCCTTGTTATTCCGATTTTCCTGTATTCTCCACTCCTTTGACCTCGGCTTGTTTCTCGTTCTCCCGTTTTCCGGCTCCCTTTACTTGGCTTGTCTCTTGACTATTCTTAGTGTTCTTAGCCCGGCCACTCTAAGGACCGGTATAGCACCCTTCCTCTCTGTGACCTGTTAGCGTGTTAGGTTCTGGAATCAGTTGTTAGTAAATCAGGAGGCTAGAATGGATGGTTTAGACCATCGTATGGATCAGTTTGCCCAGGCTTTACAAACCATACTGGCTCGTACTGCCCACTTGCAACCTGCCATTCAAGAAGTTGTTGCTGCTGTGCCAGAACCCATACCCAATCCGGTACTCGCTCCTGCTCACGTGGTTCACATGACGCCACCACAGCGCTATAGCGGTGATCCAGCATTGTGTCGTGGTTTCCTCAACCAAACTGATATTCATTTGGTGATGAATCCTCGTTCCTACCCCACTGATAGAACCAAAATTGCTTTTCTAATCAACCACTTGTCCGGGAAAGCTTTAGCATGGGCTAATCCCATGTGCGAGAATACGTCCCCAATGTCCTTTGCAGACTTTTTGACAGCTTTTAAATGTACATACGTCAGGGTTGCTTCTGCTGGCAAAGCTCTGCTAAGGGTCCGACAGGGTAATAGATTTGTAGCGGATTATACTATTGAATTCCGCACTCTAGCAGGTGAAGTGGTTTGGAATAACGACGCCCTCGTAACAGCCTTTCAGGAGGGTTTGGCCGCTTACATACTAGATGAAATAGCATCCAGGGAATTGCCTGTTCTTCTGGATGATGTAATAGATATCATTCTTATTGACAACCGTATTAGAGAGAGGCATAGTCAAAGAAGGATGAATACACAGGGGTCACCTGCTTTACCCAGTACTGCATTACTAGCATTACCTCCCCCTAATCAACCATCTCCCGAACCCATGCAATTGGGTGCTATAGGCTTAACTGAAGCTGAAAGAACGTATCACAGAAGGGAGGGCTTATGCCTTTATTGTGGAAAGAGGGGGCATCTCCGAAGAAACTGTCCTAGTTTGCAGGGAAACTTCAGCACCTAAGGCCTAGAGAAGGGTCAGCCTCTGGTGTTATGGTTTTTTCCCCTCAGGTGTCCATCTCCAGACCATTTATCACGATTACTCTTTTGGTCAATCAAACCACCATTCAGGTGCTGCAGACAACTTTATCGATGAGAACTTTGCAAAAACCGCAGCCTTGACTCTGATCCAAAAGGCCACACCCTTGGCCGTTGAGGCCGTAGATGGTAGACCACTTGATAAACCTCTGGTGACCCATGAAACCCAAGAAATGGTTATGGCCGTGGGTGCCTTACACAAGGAAAGGTTAACCTTCCAAATAATTGACTCCCCTACAGCTTCCATCGTTCTGGGCTTTCCCTGGTTAGTTAAACACAACCCGGTACTTGATTGGGGTTGTTTAGATATACTCCCCTGGGGGGAATCTTGTCAACAAGACCGTATGGCCCGTTTACATTCCGTTTGCTTACTTAATGTGCCTACAGCTAAACCACTTTCTGTTTCTGTCCCTCCTGTGTATGCAGACGTCGCATTGGTCTTTGAAAAAAGGGAGGCTACCCCCACACCGGCAGAGCCGCCATCAGGGCATGACAACCGCAATGGTTGTCATGGGCCCGGCGGTCCTGGGGGGCCCGGACTGCTAAGGTCGTCTGGGCCCCACATTCAGTGGGTACATACCGGGTCGCAGGTGACGTCATCTTCCAGCGCCTGCATTAGTACGCGGCGCACGAGGGAGCTGAAGAGGAAGCACTCAGAGGTGAGTGCTCCCTCGCGTGCCGGCCGGCTGTCAGAGGGAGGGGGGGGGAAATTTGAGGGAGGGGGGGAAATAAATTTAAGGAAGGGAGGGAAGGGGAGGAAAGAAATTTAAGGAAGGGAGGGAGGGGGAGGAAAGAAATTTAAGGGAGTGAGGGGGGGGAATAAATTTAAGGAAGGGAGGAGGAGGAAAGAAATTGAAGGAAGGGGGAGGAAATTTGAGGGAGGGGGGGAAATAAATTTCAGGAAGGAGGGGAGGAAAGAAATTTAAGGAGGGGAGGGGGGAATTTGAGGGAGGGGAGGAAAGAAATTTAAGGTGGGGAGAGGAAGGAAATTTGAGGGAGGGAGGAAGAAAATTTAAGGAGGGGGAGAGAAGGACATTTGAGGGGGGGAGGAAGGAAATGTTGAGGTGGGGGAGAGGAAGGAAATTTTGAGGGAGAGGAAGGAAATGTTGAGGTGGGGGAGAGGAAGGAAATTTTGAGGGAGGGGTGAGAGGAAGGAAATTTTGGAGGGGGTCTGAATAATATAACAATTATAAACACTTATCCTATCCCTCTCATCACTGAGTTGTTTGACCGTGTTAAAGGTTCTAGATATTATACTAAACTAGACCTCAGGGGGGCTTATAACTTGTTTCGTATAAAAGAGAATGATGAATGGAAAACAGCGTTCAATACACGCAGTGGGCATTACGAGTATCTAGTCATGCCTTTTGGACTGTGTAATGCTCCTGCTGTGTTTCAGGACCTCATAAATGATGTCCTTAGAGATTTACTGCATGTCTGAGCCATGGTTTATCTTGATGATATACTTGTATATTCTCCTGATTTGGAGTCACATCATGCCCATGTGAGGATGGTACTTAAGAGATTGCTGCAGAACGGTCTATTGCAAATTAGAGAAATGTTTATTTGACCAAAAATCAATACAATTTCTAGGGTATATCATTTCTGAACTGGGATTCAACATGGATCCTTCAAAATTAGAAGCTATATTGTCTTGGCCTCTTCCCCAAGGCCTTAAGGCGATACAGCGATTTATAGGCTTTGCCAATTATTATCGGAGGTTTATTAAAAACTTTTCATCAGTTATTTCTCCTATCACGAAACTGACTAAAAAGGGTTTGCACCACAGGGTTTGGACTCCTGAAGCCGTTAAAGGACCACTCTAGGCACCCAGACCACTTCAGCTTAATGAAGTGGTCTGGGTGCCAGGTCCAGCTAGGGTTAACCCATTTTTTCATAAACATAGCAGTTTCAGAGAAACTGCTATGTTTATGAATGGGTTAAGCCTTCCCCCTAATCCTCTAGTGGCTGTCTCATTGACAGCCACTAGAGGCGTTTGCGTGCTTCTCACTGTGATTTTCACAGTGAGAGCACGCAAGCGTCCATAGGAAAGCATAATGAATGCTTTCCTATGTGACCGGCTGAATGCGCGCGCAGCTCTTGCCGCGCGTGCGCATGCAGCCGACGGGGAGGAACGGAGGCGGAGAGGCGGAGGAGAGCTCTCCGCCCAGCGCTGGTAAAAGGTAAGTTTAACCCCTTTTCCCCTTTCCAGAGGAGGGCGGGAGGGGGACCCTGAGGGTGGGG